CTGTACAAGATGCGGACTTGTGATCCTATTTACAAACACCATTAGAACAAATCATTCTATTCATTAAGAGAATGCAACTATATATCTATCCCAACAATTTGAATACACAGATACAAAATGGACATTCATCTGTATACCCCATTTTTTCTAAGTTCCGTTATTGAATATTATAGGTGTGTAAACAAGATGAAGCTTTATTGGCTTGCTTTTATTTTATTTTTTCTTTTCTCTCTCTTTCTTTCCTTCCTTCTTTCTTTTGTTTATCCTTTCATTTTGGTCTCAGATTTTACCATCAGGTTTGATGTTTTTTGTTGTTTTTTTTTTTTAATTTTATTTATTTATTTATTTATTTAGTGTGTGTGTGTGGCCAGCTCAGCCCACCTGGGGGCAGGGCTGACTGGCATGTGGTGTTGGGGGATTGAACCGCGGTCCTTGCACTTTGCTCAGCTTAGTTTGTTCTAAGTAGGTGCTTTAGACCACTGAGCCATCTCACCAGCCCCAGGTTTGATGTTATGAAGTAGGCCATCCAGAGTTTGCTAAAAAGTAAAATTAAACCTAAAAAGAACCCTTAAGTTTTTACAACAGAAATTCGATTTGCTGAAAAATAGAAATGGTTTATATCAAACTGAGTATGGTGGCTCACTCCTATAATTCCGGCATTTGAGAGGCAGGGGAAGGAGGATCATTGTGAGTTTGAGTCCAGCCTGGGCTACATAAGGGAGTTCAAGGCCAGGCTGCACTACATAGTATGCCTGTCTCAAAACTAAAACAAAACAGAAATATTTTGCTTTAGCCATCTGATTAACTTAAATTGTTTCTGTTAAAAATTTATAGCTTGTCTTAATATAAAAAAATTATAGCTCGGGGGCTGGGGAGATGGCTCAGTGGAATAAGTGCTTCCCTGGCAAGCACAAGGGCCTGAGTTCAATCCCTGGTTCCGAAAAAAAAAAAAAATTATAGCTCAAAAGACAGATAGAAACACAAAACTTTGGCTGTATTGATACTGTTCTTGTATTAGAATCAAGAGGAATAAGAGAGGTGATCTACATTACTCAAAGTATACACATACAAAGAAAATTGAGGCCACAAGGTTACCTGACAGAACTAGGACCAGAACCTGAGGCATTTGGCTCTTAGCCTTGTCTCTCGCACCCTGCCTTCCTCCCCGCACCCAACCACTGTGAAACAGGAGTCTGGTTCTCCCGTAGGTGCTCTGGATGGCATTGCTAAGTGTGTGCTGTCTTAGTTTCTAATGATGGACTAAAAAGACTGTGTTTTCTGATATTGTTTATTAATCTCACTCTGGAAATTACTTATGCTACAGTGGTTAAATTTTTAAACGAGGTGAACTTTGCTCATTTTTGTTTTACTTTATGTGCCCCAAAAGGAGAAAAGGAATGGAAGTTTTTGTTTTGTGGTACAGATAATTAAATTGCGACCTCCTTCATGCTTAGCAGACACTGTACTTCTGGGCTACATTCCCAGCCCCAAAGTCCATTTGTATAGGGTTTTTAGAATCTAAGAACATATTTTAATCAGTAATTTAATATTTTATACATGATTAATTCTTTATGTTTTTTGTTTGTTTGTTTGTTGCTGTTGTTTGCAGAACCGGAGATTGAACTCAGGCCTTTGTGCTTGCCAGACAAGCACTGATTCTATTGAGCTATCTCCCTGGCCCATGCATGATTAATTCTTTGAAATACTTTTTTTTTTTTTTTTTTTTTTTTTTTTTTTTTTTTTTTTTTTTTTTTTTGGTATTTTAGGACAGGGTCTACAGGGTCTACAAGGTCTCACTGCATAGATCAGACTCTTAGTGATCCTTCTGTTTGCAGCCTCCCAAGGGAAAACCACTGAAGTAGCAGTTGAGCTGATATGAATAGCCATGAAAAATGCTATAAAGAAAATCCTTTTAGGGCTGGGGATATAGCTCAGTGGCAGAAGCACCTGCCTGGCAAGTGCAAGGTCCTGAGTTTGATCCCTAGGACATTATCCAAATTAAGCTTTATTCTTGACATAGAAGATTTGGGAGCCTACTCTCTACTGAACAGAAACCTTAGAAGTAAGAAGAAATATGTAGCACTTGAGCATATACAAAAGATTTCATTCCTGGAGAGTGGATGATAGAATAGTATTGTGGATATCACAATTCAACATAAAGTGTCACTTTATAGTAGTGAATACCACATGCTATCATTATTTTAATATTTCTTTATCTGAATTATGATAATGTGTGGGTTAGCTAAAATCCAAACCTGAAGCCTTCCAGAGATCTCAGCTGGTGCTATGCCAGTAGAGACTCAATTGGCAGTGAAGCAGCCTTTGTCCTTTGCTGGCTGAGGACTTAGGAAAGGAAAGGTTCTGTGTCCCTTTGTGTGATATCACTGGTGTAGAAGAGAATTCTCTTCCCATTCAAATAAATTCCTAATAGCTGCCTTGTCAGTGAGAGAAAAGTATGCTTTCAACAGTCCTTCAAAATTGGTACTCTTGGGCTGGGGCTATAGCTCAGCGACATACTGCCTACTTGGCAAGCACACGGTCTCAAGTTCGATTCCTGCTACAAAAAAAATTAGTACTCTCATTCCCATTTTATAATTAAAGAAAATGAAGTTTGGAATAGTTAAATGAAATTGTCCAACAATATATACATTGTCTATATATACTAACTTATCCTTTCAAAATGTAGTGGCTAATGTAACTATTGTTATTCTTTTGTATAAAATGCCTTTTGTTCTCTAACTTCTGATATTCTTTTTTTTAGTTATGCAACAGATGTTTTATTTTTTTATAATTTTTTAACCTCTGATATTCTAAAACAAAATAGCTCTAATATAATCCACTTTGTGTGGGCTCTGCACATGTTATTTATGCCACAATAGCTTCCTAAAGACCAAGTTAAACATTCTCATTCTTGATCTGAGTGTCCATCCTGTGCATATATTCATAGTCTATGAAGCAAAAAAGACTATAAACATATAATTTGTAATTTTTTGAATTGTTCTGGATTTATCTATAATTGTTATATGTAGTTAATAAGACTTTTTTGAGGGGCTGGTGAGATGGCTCAGTGATCTAAAGCACCTACTTAGAACAAGCTTAGCAAAGCACAGGGACCGCGGTTCAATCCCCAGCACCACATGCCAGCCAGCCCCGCCCCCTGGTGGGC